GGGAAAATACAAACCTCAGCCCAAATAAGTTGAATGGCTTCTCCATCCTATATAATATTTAAGAGGTATGAAACCATAAAGGAAAAATAACTTAGAATATTTTTTCAATTCTCTGGTCTCCCAGTAAACCTTATTTTATTTGTGTCTTTTAAAATAAAATTCAGTTATTGGCCAAGAGCTAGCACACGGTCTCAAAATAAGACTTAACTGGTATATAAGTTTTATGCTGGTTCTGTGCACAGGAGTAAATTGTACCCTAGACCAGGGGTTTTCAACCTTCTTGTATCAGTGTTGGCGGCCGAATGTGGGGGGGTGGGGAGAGAGGTAGCGTGCAGCTGAACATGTTGCAGCGGCAGCCACTGTGTGCAAGCTTCCCTCGCACCCCGTGTTTGGCTGGCACCTTGCAGCAGCATGGGAGGGTGCTTCGCAGTACTCTGTTCCCACCTGCCCGTGCGTACCCCATAGGGCCTTCTCAAGTACCCCCAGGGGTATGTGTACCTCCAGTTGACAAACCCTGCCTTAGACAGTTGGATCCTTGGGGCAGGGGCTGATTTTAGCTGCATCCTACACGTAGAACACCACACACATAATAAATAATGTGCTTCATAAACCAATTTCCTCAAAAGCTGAGTACAGTTGGTTTTCCCTTTTTTTTTCTATAGTTTGTCTATACTTGTGGCACACAACCGATAGAAGAGTATTAGATACATATATGTGCCTTACTTTGATAACTGAAGAACTCCTACTTACCAGCTACTTGTATAAGTGAAACCCACAAAAGGTAAATGATGACCAGAAAATGCAGTGTGTGATGGAGGAGGCATCGTTTCCTAGAAGATAAAGGAAGACCTAGCTAAGTTAGATTCTATTCGTTTTGGAAACATATTACTAGATTTTAATCAGTCATTAAAGATGAATACTTCCATTTTATTAACCAAATCCATAATGATCTTTATCTAAAGACTACGTATGAAACAGCAGCCTGCAAAATTGGCTTTAAATTAAAAAAGATACAAGAACTTGTCAGAAAAGGGATTCTTTTAAATCAAAATATATATAATTAAAAGTAGTAGGTTACTATGCAAGAGGCAAGGATTTTTTGTGGGCAACTTCTTTGATTGGACCAACTGCATATTTGAGAGATCTTAAGATAAGTTTTTTGGCAACACACACACTTCCTCAGGTCACCTCAGGCTACCTTGTAACCTACAGCTTGTCTAAGACCTCTTTCAACTATGGAGCTGGTCCAATAAAAGATACCACTCCAAGAAGTCCTTGCCTCTTGCGTATTTCTTGGACTGTCATGCCTACAACACCATTCCAACAATATCTAATAATTATGGAAATTAAAAGCTGACTGCTCCTCTTTTTCCCCAAAGAACTTCCAAGTTTATCTTAGTGCAAAAAAACCCATCTTGCATCTCTCCTTTACTTCCTGCAACTCTTGAGTCAAAATGCTTTTCTCCCTGTGGAGTGGGTCAGCCCATCTCTCCTGGTGACTCTGTAGTGAGAATGACACGCAGAGACCTTGCTAGTAAGAATGACACAAGAGGACTGAGGCACCCTTCCTTTACAGGACTCCTACTTCCTGCCAGGCCGGAAAGCACAACTGAAGTTCAAGACTTGAACACTGACCCAAGTAGATGGAGAGTAGCATGTATACTAAATGTTTTGGCATCTGTTGATAGCCTCTTCAAGAAGATTTATGCATATGTACTCTAGATTCCTTCTAGCTGCTTTTTATGCAGTTGCATCATTTTAGACCAGAAAAGCTAATTAAGAAAAATATTGCATTGAAAGTGCTAAAATACCCTGAAATTTAAGAACAGTTAATAAATTGGACTTTCTCTGAATGAACAAAAGAAGCAAGATTCTAAGCTAAGGCAAGAACCAAAGAAAGGAATCAAGAAAATGTTTGAATCCTTGTATTCCATCTCATCCTTTCACATTCTCACTTGGAAATATTTATTCTCAGATAATAAACAAACTGTGAAAATGACATTAGATGATCAAAAATGACATTCTTCCAAATTAAACTATCAAAATTTAGAAAAGCAATGTTTAACTGGAGACAATCTTTAGGCAGGCAAAGACAAGTTTGGTAAATGACCAGGGAGCACATCAGATACTTGGAAAATTGAAATTCTGATGTCATTGGGCATTTCTAAATTTCATAATGTTTAAATCTGAATAGTCTCTATTTATTAGCACAGAACTTCTCCATAAGAACAACTAAGAACATAGGACTGGAAGGGGCCTGCTGGTCCTTTGCTAATGCCCTGCCATTGCAATGATAAAGAGTAACTGGTTAATACATACTCAGAGGATACTAGAAAGAGGACCATGTTCCATGCTAGAGGAAGGTAAACCTCCTCACACAGTCCTTGCCAATCTGACCTAGGGAAAAAAATTCCTTCTTGACCCCAAATTTAGCAAATGGTATAACCCTGAGAAAAAGAGCAGGAGCCTCCATCCAAGAACCTCTGTTTTCTAAGAGCTGCCAGGAGCACCAGTGAAGGCCAGGACTATCCCTTGCTGCCAGCCTTAGCTGTAGCCACTGTCCAGTGCTTCAAAGGAATACCAGCTCCCCTCCTCTTCTTCTTCCCCCGCCTCCCCCAACAAAAGAACCGCCTAAACCAGTAGCATTTGTGGAGGACCAGGGGAATTTCTTCCTGGTTCTTAGAGGGGACAATTAAAAGTCCTGAAACATGGGATTGCCAAGCACCTATAACACAGCAAGAGTTACCTGTATAACCCAACATGAGGGTTGCAAGCACTCAATTCCATGCATCATACATACTAATTCTTGAAAGTTCTCACCTGATGCTGGGAAGCAATATACAATAGAAATATCCAATTTTAGAGTAGCAGGGAGGTACTGGGCTTAATACTGAGGTACTAAGGTACTCTCACTGATGAAATGCCATGCAAAATGCCAGTGAAAACAAACTATGTAAAACAGCTGAAAATAGTTTGGATTTAAAAAAAAATCCTTTTATACTTAATTATCTAAAGCGGGGGGGAGGGGGAGGGGAGAAGAGGGGCAGCCTTTTTGGTAGGTGTGCCACATATTAGCCCCACACCTTCCCCAACTGCCACTACAGACCTCTTCCCCTTCCCAATCTGCTAATCAGGTTTCTGCTCTGTACTCTGCCTGATGTGCTGCTCAGCTTTCTACTCCCTGCCTGATCTGATGCTCTGTTTCCACTCCCTGCCCTATCTGTCACTGTGCTGTCCTTCCCCTCCCTAATCTGTTGTGTGCCACACACAGAGCCTGCCCGTGCCATTTGTGGCATCTGTGCCCCCCCCGGCAGCCATCCTGGATCTAAAGTATTTATCGCACTGTTCAGAATTTCTTCAGTATCATATTTATATTATTGTTATTGCAATCTCATAGTCATCCCTTTTAAAAACAATGTGAATTTAGTAAGGAAAAGAATCTAAGCAGAATTATCTCATTTTCCCAGAGTCAAACACTTCAGGCACTGCCCCCAGGTCCTGCACTGAGATACATGAGCACGGACTCCTGCAGAGTCCCACTCAGGTCACTGGGTCTCCACAGGAGTGCAGGGATCCACACCAACAGATCGCATTGCACGAATGGTGACTTTATTTGTTTCTACTTCCTCAAACAAAACAGAAATTTAAACATGATACTGTTTCAAAGCAGAGACTGAGCTGGGGGTGGGGAAGAGAAAGAGGGAAACAGCAGTTAAAGTAAGCCATCAAAAACATTCTAAAGTAAAAAATTACATAAAGGTGAAAGGATACCTATCTACACATATGTAGCTGCAAAGTAACAGATCCAGTTTTAATAATTCTTCAGGATTTCTGATTCTTTGCTGACTGTTGTGCTAAAATGTGTGTGAAATCAACCTATAATTGAATCAGCAATCCTATATGTTTAATTAATCTATTACACACAAAACAGGTATATTAAAATAATGTCACTAAGCCTGTATGTAAAGTTAGCTGGAAAAATACTAGAATGAAGGTTGCCTTTATTTTGCACTATAATGGTTATGCAGTAGTAGATAACCTTTAAATACAATTACATGAAGAACTATCATCCTCCAATCAACTACATATCCAACAAACTTCCCACAATCACTATGGACAGAAGTAACTTACCCTTTTCAACAGGAGAGGGGCAGTTGCCACTCAGGAGAGCTGTTGCCCTGCAAGTGTTACCTCTGCATACCCCCTTGCACAGTGATTCTCAACCAGGGTGCCGCAGCACCCTGGGAGTGCCTTGAGATCCTTTTAAGGGTGCCAGAGGGCGCCACACAATATTAGCACTGGTAGGCACGCAAACAAGGTTCACAAGATAAACCCAGAGACATCAAATGGGAATTAATAATGTTGAAAACATTCTGACCTGTGGTGGACTTCCTGAGTTTTTTACAACACAAGTATTACTCAAATTATTTCTCTGTCGTCAAAAAATGAGTGAAAAGTAAGAGCCAGCTTTTTCTAAGGGGTTCCTGGAGCTGAACACAGGGTGCCTCTAGTCTAAAAAGTTTAAGAACTGCTGCCCTAGCAATACAAACCAGCAAAATCACTGTAAAATCAAACCTCAGTAAAGCAGGCTTTAAGTTGCAACAGTTTGGCTACACTTGTGCCACTATAGGAGCATGCAGAGGGTAACAGGTTATTCATCCTGTTACAGATTGATCAGGTTTTCGTAACCACACAGGGATCAGTTACAATTAGAGTGGTGGCTTGGTGTTCTACTGTAGATAATCATTTACTGTTTTTGACACAGAAAACCTGCTGCATTTAGTATGCAAACAGGACCCATATCATTCAATGACATCACTGTTCAGTATTTCCTTTAATCCTCAGCACTAAGTGAAGTACCAAACCTCATTTATTTAAATCCTACATGAGTAAACAAAAACAAACAAACAAAAAAACCCTTCATAAACTTTTCTGTGGTGCTTACTATGGTCTTTGAACAACTATGGTAACTAATGGTATCGGAACAACTCATAGCCATTAATTTATTTTCTCACCTTTGTGAGATAGGGGGCGTTATCACCCCCAATTTGCAGATGGGAAATTGTGATGCAAAGGCCAATATTTGCAACAAAAGTTTAAAGTGTCCACTTACTTTGGGTGCATGGAGCCAAGTTTTTCAGGGGTCCTGAGAATGCACTGATCCTACTGGTTTCAAAAGTTGCTGTACAGGCTCAGCAATTCTGAAAAATCAGACCCCTGGTGTTTCAAGTTAGGCATCTAGAAAATGAAGTCTAAACAATAATGGTGCGACCCACTTTGAATTTGTAAGTACATATCTTTGACCTCCCATGCCGTATGCAGACATGCAAGGGCATGAGTTTGTAGCGGCCCAAAATGTAGCAGTGCAAATTTGTGTTGCTTTGTGCCTCAGCACATGCCTTTGCATGTGCACTTTGTTGCGGAATACACTGTCCTGCCTTGGGCAAACTTCCCTTGCCCAGCTCCTTCTGGCACATGGGGGCACAAATGTAGTAGTAGAGATGCTCTGGCTGGCAGCCAGAATGTCTTGCTTGAGGACCAAGCCTTCACCTGTTCCAGTGCACACTATTTTACTGTGTTCTGAGACACTTTGTTTTTTTCTACCAGGAAATCCTAAGCCCCTACCTACATTCCAAAATTACTGTTCAAAACCATAGAAATGTTAAAGCTACTCAAATAAACACCTAGAAAACATCTACATAGTGGCAAAATCACTTATTTTCACTAGTCGTGCCCCGAGGGTGACTGAACAGCTTGAACTCAGGCTTCCCAAAAATTCAATCCAAAGCAGAAGCCAACCTTGAAAAATTTCAGTCATAAGGATTACAGACTGGCAAAACTTTAAGCAATTATGAATAGAGGGCAATAATGGGAAGAGTCATGCAACCCTGCATATAAGCATCAATGGTGTTCCACCAGCAAGTTTTTATGCGGCATACCACTTTCTGTCTACAGGGTGCTGCACTTATACAGCCATTATTTCTCCTGTGTGGATTTAAAGGGCCTGTTTCTGCAAACAGTAAACTAGATTTGTAATTTGCCTCACATGAGGATTTGCTGAGCATTCTCTACAACCCAAGCCAAATTATTAAGTGTTTGCAAGATCAGGTTCCAAATAATCAACAGTTTTTCATTCTTTGGAAAAAAAAAGATGCCTACCTACTAATGGTATTAGAGAATATATTGCAGCATGACCAAAGTAATCTGGAATTAAAATGTCAATTTTTAAATGAGCATAAATAAAGGAAATCAGGAATTGAGGGCAAAAAGTTTTATCATTCATATACTTACAGAGTTTTTTAAGCAATCATCATCCACATCAAAGTTTGATGTATCAGTTGGACTGCTGACTTCTGGGATGTAAGGTGCTTCACAGTTCCGAATGTTATCCCAGTCAATCCCGGCAAAAAATGGATGGTTCTTAAAGTCCTCAATCCCATTTTGCCCAAGTCGATGCTCCCTACTGCAAATGAGCCTTCGGATGAGGTCCTTTGCATTTTCTGAGACATCTGTTACTTGTGCAGGAAACTGAAATCTCTCCTTGAAGAATAAAACATGGAAGGATATTTTATTATCAAGAAAAAGCCAGAAAAGTCAGGTTCCTTAGTGAACATTTCTGTAGAGAAATAGAGCTTTGTAAATACCCAGGCTCTTATGGTTACATGAACGTAATAAAGTTTCTAGGAAAAAGACTTCCCCAGATGACCGAAAATACTGAAAATGTTATAACTGTCCTCTGCTTTTTGTTTATTTAGAGTCTCATGTATGTTTTTGGATTCTATCTTTACTTCCAGGTGGAAGAAAGTTTCAAAACCCCTTCTCTAAGCCAACAAATGGATCCACAAGAAAGAACTGGAGCAAAAGAAGTGATGTAACATAGCCAAACCTTAGTTCTTGCAGTGAATTAAGGACTGCTCTTATATGTCCAGATTTTTAGTTTTGAACTATTTTATCCAAAAATAAAACCAGCTGAAATTCATTACCAGAAACTGCAAGGTAGGGAGATCACATTTATACTCAGGATTTATGAACATGAACACAGTTATTACAAAACAATTCTCTTTTTAAATAAACTTAAGATCATTCTTTTTACTCATTAAAAATTGTTTAATTAGAAAGGGAAGGGGAGAGAAAGAGAGAAAAAACAAGCACTAACTTTGTGGTTCATTATTTTCCCATAGGTCTCCACCAAGGACTCTGCGTAAAATGGAGTTTCTCCATAAAGCATTTCATACATGCAAACGCCTAGGGACCACCAGTCACATTCAGGTCCATACTTCCCTTTTCCATCTTCCATGGCCTGCAGGATTTCTGGAGAGATATAGTCTGGGGTTCCAACTGCTACTGAAGATTGGACCTGTGAGAGTTAGTATTTCCATTATTAACAATAGTTTTCACTATTAGGGTATGGACAAACATACTTTTTACCTGCTTCAAAAGGGCATGGGGATCTTCAGCGCAGGAATGTACATCAGCTGCTATGATTTAACTGTTATGTCTGCATGAACCTGTAGAGATGTAAGTGAGCTAAACAGGATTAACACTGTAATGGTTTCACTATATCTGTATCACTACAGAACTATATAGACATAACAGCTGCAACTAAAACGCTTATACCAGTATCCTTTAATGTTGTTACAATTGTGATACCTGCCTATGATCTTAGAGACAGTGCTCTGTGAATAGGATCATGTGTCTATTTATGTAAGTTCAGTTTACTGTTCAAATTGTAACAGTGAAATCTAACAAAGAAAGGTTTGCTAAACAGTTATTCATGAAATAAGCTAAATGCGTCCCAAGCACGTCAATATTTCAAACATTCTGAAAAAAAATGATAGGCTAATCCAATAATTTAGTTTTGCTCTGAAATGTGATTAATTCCAAATAAGGCAGTTTTGGGGCTTGCAGTTATTATAAAGCAATCATTTCATTGCTAATCACATATATCATATTTACATGAATCTAAGAGGAGGTTCCACCCCCGTTAACATGGGGAAAAAAGCCTCTTGTCTTAGACCTGAGTACAAGCAGGGGGAAAGGACCTTCACTACCACCTGCCTCTCCTTCCCCATGCCTTTTCTGTCTCCTGTGCCCCTTCTCCTTTCTCTCTCTTCCACAACTTACCTTCCATTTGAAGCTCTGGCTGGGGCCCCACTCCAGGAAGCATGTGCCTCTGACCCCAACCCGGTCATGCAACAGCTGTTATTGGCTGCTGCTCTGGCCCTAGCTCTACGGTAGCCAGAAGGGGGCGGGAGGCAGGCAGTAGGGGGAGCCCAAGCAGGAAGCAGAAGGGAAGGGAGGTGGTGTGGGGGGCAGGTGGAAGGGGAGCAAGTGACAGGGGGGCCAAGCAGGGGGTGGGGGCAAGCACTAGGAGTGCAACTGGGGGGGCAGGCAGCAGGGCGGGGGATAGGTGACAAAGGTCAGGCTACTTGACACCCTGCTGCTTATCCTTCCTGCTGCTGTGTGCCCCGCTACAGTGGTGGGATGAATTTAAGATGACCCTGTAAAAATTAGATTCTAGACATAGAAAACTTTAACAAATTCATATATTTTCCATGTCTAGAATCTAATTTTTGTGTGTCATCTAAAATTCAAAGTCATCTTGGACTTGGGTAAATACAGTATTAATGCAAATACCTTGTAGAAATTCAAGGCATAATTATCAAATGCTGCAACTCCCTTTTAATCTCTTGTACTAGAAGTTAAAAAAAAAAGTGCTCCACCCGGGTGATGCGATATCAAGTACTCTTCATCCTGCTTATGTCATACAGCTTCTTCTGAGTACACTGACATCAATGTGGGCTTTACATGAGCATTTACAATAGTACATAGCTCAAAACTAGATGTCTTGAATCTTTCCAATGGTTATATATTCAATTTTGATTATGCAAACTGCATTGATTAACCATTTTAATTAAATGCACTAAAATATATTTAACACAAAATAAATTGAAATAATATTTAATATTTTGTAATTGCATTTTAAAATGACATTTGCCTTCATAGATAGGATTATTGCTTTATGAGCCAAAATTTCAGTACCAAACAGAGGACAGAAAAGAAAGATGATTGAAGGAAATTATAACTGTGCCATTCTTTCTAATTTACCGTTCCATCTTCCATGAGTTTCAGACAAGAACCAAAATCTGCTAGCCGAATATGTCCATTCATATCCATCAAGATGTTATCTGGTTTAATATCCCTGCAAACAAAACACATTTAAGGATCAGCTTGAGGAAAAACATAATGCATTCTCCTGAGTAATAATCTAGAAACTTTTTTTTCATTCACTGACAGTGAAGGCAGGGAGCAGTTGCTCCCTATATGGTTTTATTTGTATCTATGAAACATTTGCTATCCAGCCTGTACATGCAACAGAAAAATTGTGATAAGATTTAATAATTTAACTCCCATTAATGACAGTAATAATTGGGCAAGTCCCACATACCACACAGAGAACTTGTATATAAAGAAAGCAATGGTAGTCTCTGCATAGCCCTATGCATTCCATACCCTATGCTATTATTTATAACTTTACTGAAATAACAGAGAAGTCTAAATCATTTCAAGATGTCTAGAGGAGTATTTTTGATTCACATATTGGCACTTGGCTAAGAAAAAGCCTCCCTCATAAAACTTTGGAACAGTTAATGAAGCCCTGCAATAATCTCTGTACCATTAAGGTTTAGTATCTTTTATCCACACATTTCTGTTATGTACTCCCCCTTCAAAGTTCGCATGTTATTGCTTTGATTGCCCATTCAAAGGACATTTGTCCATTTCTACTGAAACACCTGATAATGTCATTTTACAGACCTGTTGACAGTTCTTCATGGAAAACCTGCAGCTTTTTTCCCCACCCTGCTCACAAAACATAAGGAGACACCCTTGGAGCACGCAACATGCACTGGCCCGAGAACACAAATCCATTTTCTGAATCACCCTTTTTTTTAAAAGCTACTTAAAGCTACTTAGAAAACCAAGCGGCCAACCATGTACACATATAGATACAGTTCTCCTGTAAGAACAAAGTGGTTTTAAAACCAAAGTGTTCTCTGAGTATTTCACTTTACATTTTAAAAATGTAAATAATAACTCAAGAAACCTGATACTTGCCAGCCTAGTGGTTGGCTGCTGCATTTTGTGCTGAAAGCAGCTGGAGTGTGGGAACAAATACAACTCTCTAACCTTATGATCAGAGCTCTGCAGGTAGCACAAGTCATACAGAAATGGCTGGGTCCATCGTGGCATATGTCCGAAGTAAATATACCAATGATATACAGAGTTTAACCTGTATATCAAATTTTGGTCCTAGTTTCCCTGGTGTATGTCAACTATAGTGCCACTTTAAACAATTCATTTACCCTTCTGTAATGTATAATGCAATTTGCCCTACAAAGCCAAGTTCTTTACTGGCCTAAACTGACTCCTTTGAAATTACTGTGATTAATAGTATGTCAGAAGCAAATATACCACTGATATACTGTATATCAGTGCTTCTAACATACTACTAATTGCAGTAATTTCAAAGGAGTCAATTTAAGCCAGTAAAGAATTTGGCTTCGTAGGGCAAATTGCATTATATGTTACAGAAGGGTAAATGAATTGTTTAAAGTGGCACTATAGTTGACATACACCAGGGAAACTAGGACCAACATTTTGACTTTCATCTTCAAAGTTTACAATCTTCACATGCTCACACAAACTTTAACTGCTATGAAGTCCCTTTAAGAGGAAAGAGTACAAAAAGGCTGTAAAACCAAACCAAACCAAACCAAACCAAACCAAAACAACCCCACTTAAGACCTTTATACCATAGATTCAATTTGACTAATGTGATGAGCATATCTTAAAACTATCAAAACCAAGGAATTTAGAATTGTAACTGAATTAATCTAACAGATTGCAGGAACTATTTAGTAGAATTTAGGGGCGTTTCATGTTACATTTTAAAAAACAAAAATTCTCTACTGAAAGCATACTCAAAAAACATTTATAAAACCTGCACTACTTTAACTGACCATATTGTATACAAATCCAAATTAGGCCTTGTCTCTGCATTGAAAACAACGTGGGCATAACTTCAGCCTTAAAGATGTAAATCTGATCATTCTTCTTTTAAGACTTTAATGTCTCAGATAACTGACAGTAAGAAATCTGAAATTCAGAACAGGGCCACAGTTTCGCAAGTGACTGTAAGGGCATACCTATATGCAGTCATCTGAAGGATCAGGATACTGGTTGCTAGGCACATGAACAAACTGCAACTGCTCAGTATCTTTAAACAAACTTTGTTTCAATTTAATGTATCAAAAATATGACAATCACAGTATTTTCATCTGAGACTCACCCAAAATATTCAAAACTTATATGAGGAATGGATTTTTGCAACAAATGTTAGGTTTCAAATAAGTAATGAGGTTGATGTGGCAGAGAGATAAGAAAGAAAAAAGCAACTAAAAACATTACTTCATTCTTACAAAGGACTAAACAAATTTTAATCAAATGTTGCCAAACAAACTCTATATTCCTAGCTTGAGGCCATACAGGTTATCTTTCAACTCAGCACAACATTTTTATAACTGAGCTATAAATCTGTGCAATTAAGGGTTTATAATGAAAAATTGAGAGATCATTATTTGAATGGCATGATAAAAGGTACTCCAGCATTCAGGGTAAGATGTCAATGCATTGCCTTATGTACTACAAAAAAATGAAATAGTCTCAGATAAGTTTCAAGAAGCTATTGTATATAGAAAAGATATATTATGGATAGACTTGATACACATTGTTTATAACAATGAATACAGGATTAATTTATTATTTGTGAATAACTGGTTGCCCTTTAAGGCAAGCTGAAAGCTGCTTGTGATACAGTCTAGCATGGGGTTGCCCTGCATCTAGGTTTATAGGTGCTGTGCGGTGGGAGCAGATGGACTTCTACTGCCTGGCAAGTTTAAACCTGTGTGCAGAGTAGCCCTACATCAGCTCTCCCTGTTCAGTATCTGGAAGCCCACATGCCGTGCAGACCCTGCTGTGTTCTCCAGAGTGCAGGTTTAAACTTACTAGGAAGGGGGAGCCCCTGGCTCACCATTACACACACAATTTAAATGTGGAACATCTTTGTGGCTGGCTTGCCATTTTATGGTGCCAGAAATTGGTTGACCGTGTGGCATGTTATTGTTAATTGCATGATGAATGTAATATCTGCCAAGGGCTTTAGACATCTACATTTTGTGTAGAAGCCTGTTTAGATCTGGCCCTTTATGCCTTCCAAGCTGTTTTCTGTGACTTGAACATTTAAAAAAGGATACCACAGAGTACAGAGTTAAGGCTACCTTAGAATAAATTAATACTGTTTTGCCTCAGATACCACTGTGCAGTAAGTACAGATAGTAGTTACCATTCTTTTTTAAATGATGATCACTATAGCACTTCATGAAGAGAACACTGAGAAATATTCTCTTCTGACTCGTATCAAATTTAAAATTAGTCTTTTATGCATTTCATTTGTTTTTATTGTATTTGGTATTTGAATGCAGAAACAACTGATATACAAACAAAAAAGCTCAAATGTTCATAACTTTTTTTAAGCTACTGGTTTGGAGTGTTTCAGTTTAATAAAGACTACCACACTAGAAAGGCAAATATTGTTACAGAAATTGCATTTTCACATTTCAGAATGCAGTACAAAATAAAAGAGAATCAAAATGTAAAACTGCGGAAGTAGCTCTGAGAACCCTCTAAATAAAATTCTTTAGTTCCACTTTTGCACAATGTTGCTGACACTGCATGTGCTAAAGAATTACAACTTTCAGCTTTAGAGATTTTTTCATACTGTTCTAGCAAAACATTCGTTAAATATATTCTTAAAAAAACACTATCAATGTCTCTGGAAACATCTCTGAGATGTAAAATACTTTGTAAAAATAAATCTAAAATCAAATTACATTTAAAAATCTGGTCCTACTTCAAGATAAACAAAAACATAAATTACCTTTGAGGCACTATTTACCCAAAATATCCATCTTTCAGTATATACCCAAGAGATTAATAAGAATATGGAGACAGTAAGTACACACAATCCACAGGACACACACAAGGAAAATCTTGCTGTGACTGTCCCTATGCGTGTACACACAAGCGTGCAGAGGGCACTGAAAATGCCATGTAGGGATAAATACCTCTTGTTATCATCTCACAGGGTCAGATGTTCACCTCCCATTACAAGGTGTAAAAAAATATACTTTCTACATTCTGCAAGCTTTTCCTGTCACATCTCTGCTCCGTCAGCCACACATTGAAATGGAAATGGTAGCCTTATAGCAGACACAGCGGGTAGAGGCCAGAACCGGCGGATGAAACCTTTGGGGGGAGCTCTAAGCAGATACATGGAATGGTCATCCCCTCATAAGCCTCTCGGCCTCCTCCTCCTATGCTGTACAGCATTTAGCTGTTCCATCATCATTGTTCATTAATTACACAAAGATGGAAGACTGGCACTGTGACACTGTGACTTAAGGTGGTGTGCCCAGATTCATCCCATTTTTCAAATTCCTCCAAGTGACTATTAATTATGTGGATAAAAGTATTTGTTTGTTTTATAAACAATGAAGGCCAGATCCTCAGCTTGGGGAATGGGTATACTTCCTCTGAAGGAAGTAGAGCTCCACTGATACACATAAGTTTCTACTCATTTGAATAGATAACAAATCAAAATGCACAATTCTTCCCCTTAGTTAAGTGGGAGTTTGTCAAGATCTTCACAATGAAAGCAGTAACCTTTCTTTAAATGCCTTCCCATTTCAACACTTCTACTCTTTATTTTAACACCAACACCCTGCTCCCTTCAATTATATATTTTTTTAAATGGCTGAAAGACCAGCCACACAAAATTTGGGAAATGCCAGGTTACAGGTTGCCTGGGCAATTTTAGTGTAGCCTCCAGCCGTAATCCCGGCATGTCCTATTTTAGCATGCTTAATTTTGCAACCTTATTTATGCTGTTCTTTTAAAGGTCAATCTGACAGTAATCTCCTAGGCCTTTTTTCAAAAAGAAACTGAAAATCAGAAATTCTATTATGTGGAATCATACCGATACTCACAAGGATCATCACAGGATTGGAACTTTTAGCAGCAGAGCACAGATGTCTGCCATCTGAGCTAAGGCAGTGCCTGGTAGTAGATTATCATCTTCTCTGT